AGAAGATGAGATTTGTAGTTCAGGTTTTTACCATAGCAACCACAGGGTCTGAACTGAGGAATTGACAGAGGCCATTGAAGAAGGGTCTATCTTTTAAGTCATGGTAATGTTTCTGGGCAAATTCCTTTGAAGGAACCATTATCTTGATAGCCACGAGCTTGAATCCTTTGCGCTCAAAACGAGATATGATTTCTGCAATCTGGAATATAATATACATCCTTTTAGCTCAGCAACTATTTGTCGTATTTCAATCCATCATTAAAGAAAACGAAACATCTAAACTTGAACACGAGAAAATCAAAATATCTGATTATGTTACTTTGATTCTTCATTTTTCTTAAAGTACCATTTTCAATATGCCGTTTAATTTTCTTTAATTTATATGTTAGATGTACATTCATATCCAAAACTTCCACTCAAAATTCAATTAAAATAAATATCCAGCTTATTTCTTCTAAGACATACCTACAATTTGAGTAAAACTAGTAATGACAAGAAGCATAAAACAGCAAATTTTTGTGTTAGGCACATACTAATATCCAACATTCAATGTATTGCTAGAAGATAGTGAAGTCTTATACAAGATTAGGTTGATAACAAAGACAAGAAGAATCTTACCAGCCCTCTCTGTACTCCATCAGGCTTGATAGCAATGAAGGTGCGCTCAGTCTGAATGATGAAGAACGGAAATAAAAAAAGATGAAAAGCATGTGTAAAACTTTAGCTATGGAATCGAATATGTGATAGATTACCTGTGCTGCATGAGCCTCCTGCTCCTGAACCATGTAAGCTACAAAGAGAGAATGCAAAACAAACATTCAGTTCATAGCTTTTGCTGCTAGTTCGTTTTTGGTTATTTATTCTATGAGATTTAAGTCATCTAATTCTAACCTGCCACTGGAAGAGCAAACACTCCTGAAAGCCATCCTCTGGATGCATTGGCAGAACCACCATTTCCATAAGCTGAAGATAAAAGAGGCACCTTATTGACTGAAACTGCTGCCGCCGCCGCCGCTGCCACTGCCCGCCCTTCTGCTGCAAATAACATAAAAGCTAAATACCTTAAAACAGAATGGTTTCGCTTTTCATGTAATAAAAATTCAAAGAAAGTGACGGTGAAGGTAAAAACAACAAGCGTTAAAGAACATGAAAGTGGAACAATTAATTTTTTTTCCTTTTCAACAAAAACATTGAGTCGATAACTAGGAAGAGGAGACATTTCTTTCCTAATCTTTTACCTTTTGAAATTACATAATCAGATACTAAATTCGAATGTATCAGATATAATATAAATTCATTATGAATATAATTGTTTTTCAAGTTTTTTATGTATTTTATTCTTGAAACAGTCCTATATACAGATCCAGTATGAGACACAAATATTCTTTTAAAAATAGTGAATTGAAATAACACAGTGTATGATTGTGCATCCAAACAATGGAAAGGCTAAACAATAACACCCACCAATTTCAACAAAAAACTCTTAACACAATATTTCGCATTATCGGAAAACAGATTCATCAAAAAATAAACTCGCAGCATCGCTAATACTCTCAAAAAGAAAATTGCAGCTAAAACAATAAGATGAGGAAATCACCGGAGCAAAAGCGAGCTTTCTTCGAAGCCGAAAAGAGTGATCCGATAGCTCTAGCAGCAGATTTGCAAATCTGAGAGCTCATTTTCTTCCTTTATTTTTATGGTGCTTCGTTTGTTGGAGGATTGGTTTAGCATAAACAAGCCGAGAGCTCTTATGAAGTGTTTGTTTTAGGAACCGATTACTAAATTTAGATTTTGACAGTTACATATCTTACTCTTTCAATTATATAATATTTCCAAATAGCTGAATCTTATTATTGCAAGGATGATTAAACGTTTATTATCAGACGATTGAGATTAATTAGAATAAATATTATTATTATAATCACTTTAATTTGTTTGATCAAAATAATAATAATAATAATAATAATAATAATAATAATAATGTTATTTTTCCCAAAAAAAATTAGATGAAAATGATGTTATTTTTCCTAAAATCTTTCAATAGTTGGGTTTACTTGGTGTATTATGAATAAAATAAAATAAATTCTTAAGCAACATCATCGAAGCACCGCCGATCCGTAAAGCTCAGTCCACGAGAAGCGCCGCCGATCATCAAAGCGAGTCGCCATCGGTTTGTACCGAAACTCAGCAACAGTTTTACCTTCTTCACGACCCTCCCTAAGCGGCCAAGCAACTCCATGGTTTTATGTAAATGAAATGCAAACAACTTTGATCGTATGGATCGAGTGTCCGAAGCTTTAAAATTTAACAATATGTTTGATGAAGTTCAATGAAATAATTGTTGGCACGGCATAAGAATTGGTGGGTGTGTATAAAAGAAATGATCATCCAGCTCAATTGGTAAAACACAAGGTTTTTAACTTTGAGGTCGTGAGATCGAGTCTCACGGAGGGTATTTCATAATTTGGAGGTCTTATACGGAAGCTGTCCTCAACGTATGTTACATATGGGAATAAGGGTTAGCTAATTTATTTTTACAGAGGAGTTTAAAGGAAGAGGAAGGTGTTGGGAAGTCTGCAAAAGAGAACAAAAATGCGTATAAAAATGGAGAACCGTGTTAAGGTGGCAGCGCCAAGCAAGATGTTTATGCGAGATTAAGAGCATAAATGTGGTCAAAATTTTGATTCATTCTAATATAATAATCCAGTTTAAATATTTATATATATGTGTGTGGGTAAAATATAAATTTCATCGCTACACTTTAATTTTACTCCTGTTTTGGTCACTAAACTTCAATTCTTTTTAATTTGATCATTTAATTTTTATACTACTCACGAACCAACTTATGTCAATGGTTAAAGAAATCGTTGTTGTTCCTAGAGGTCGCGAGTTTGAGTACTTGTGACTACAGTAGGGTGATTGAGTGTTCAATGTAAAATGGTTAAGAGTATTTAGAACATATACTACTTTGTAATTACCATAGCTTAATAAAAAAATGATGTCATTTTGGATCCTTACAAAAATAAAATAAAACTTACACCGAAACGTATTGTTTTGGTAATAATAAAATATAGGATAAAGTACACAAATGGTGCTCCGACCATATAGCATTGCTTTGTTAAATCTTATGAGTATTAAAAGTTACAAAATGGTCCATCAATTATAGGGTGTTATTTTCTTGAGTCCCCCGACTATAAAAAGTTACAAAAAATCACTAGACTATTCATATGTTCTAAACTCATCCTTTTTCGTTAAAAAATTGATGACTTTCTAAGTTGGACGTTAACACATTGATTGAGATATGACAAAATCATATTTTAATGATGTCTACTGACACCACCGTTGCTTTCAAGCATTGGCTCAATGACATAATGTTTCGAGCACTTATTTGATGACATAATTGTAACAGTGACTCAATCTATAAAATGTAACCCAAACAATTCTAAGATCATATTCTAGTGAGCAGGTTAACGTCCAGCTCTGACGATCGTCAATTTTTTAACAAGAAAATAAAGAAAATATGAGTTTGGAGCATATAAATAGTTGAGTGATTATTTTATAATTTTTAATTGTAACGCCCCCGAAACCTGGGTTAGTAGTTTGAATCAACCTTAAACCCTTAAATCGAACCAAGGGACCCAATAAAATGGTTGGATTTAGCTATTTGAAGAGTGGGCTTGATTTGGGCCCAATGGATAATGGTGATTTTGTTTGATTTTGGATTCAAAAGTGCAAATTTCCGTTGAGGTTTTGAAAGCTGAAAACCCCTCCCTTATATTATTATTTCACGTAAACTAACCGCCCAAATATCCTACCAAACCTTCTTCTTCTTCCTTCCATCATTTTCTCTTCCTCTTCCCTTCCAAAGTCAAGATTTCCAGGTATTTCAATTCTAGTTGGTTAAGCCAAGGTAAGTGTAACACCTTAATCCAGTTTGACCCGAAGATTCATGGATTACAATGTCACATGGGACTACCGAAATAGTGACCCAAAATTTTTCCTTTAAAACTGCTTTTAATCTACTGAAATAGTTCATCCATGAAATTAAAACAAACCATACCATAGTAATAGTATGAGTTTACAAATGTTGGGGAGCTCCCAAAATATATCCAAAATAAATACAATACCAGTACAATCAAATTTACGATTGAATATACAAAAAGGGTCATTAAATATTACATGCCCTCTAAAGAAGACTCAAGACGTACTTTGATAGTCATTGTTGGTCTGGTCTGCTACACTAGAATATCTGCTGACGATAACTCCCCACGATCTGCCCCTAAGAACATGCCCACGGAAACACATTCCGAACGCTGAGCTTACGACCTCAGTGCCTCACTAATAATTGTACTACACTATACATTTATTTGAAGAGCTTACCAGCGGCACATGTCTGAAGCATGTAAAGACATAAAATACTAAAACCTAATATGTTAATCTGTGGTAGGCATCATGGTGTGGTGGAGGGATTCTGTCATCTCGGAGCTCACACCCCTCTAGCCTATCAGGTGGGAATCCAGAATTCTGTCATCAAAAACTTACACCCACCAACCACTCCGTCGAGTCTTGGGGCATCTAGCGCCTAGTTGGCTACTGAAGTGGCGTGGCCCTGACTTGGATCCACTAATTGTCGTGTTTCTGCTAAAAGTAACTCTAGTGTCCTAACTATTTTTTGAGCTTCAAACAAGGTTAATTTTATGTAGACCTAGTTGTTATTGTTTCTACTGTTCTGGTATTAAATATTGTTATCACTTAAAGTTTAATTTGTTATTAATCAAAGTGTGTTTGGGGTATCTCGAGTCTGATCTCTTAACCTTAGCTTATTTATCAAAATCTGTTCGTGGGTATCGATACTAACCCTTCATAATTGAACCCGATTGCTGTTTCAAATCGCTCTTCTTTGCATCATCGTCAGCATCCACTTTTGATCCATCAATTTGATCTCCTCCGTTATCTTTCCCACTAGTGTTTCCTTTCACTTAACCATTCGATTCTTTCCAATCCTTTACCAAATTCTTGCCTTCATTCGAACCGGATTGCTGATCCAAATCGCTCTTACTTGCATCATTATCAGCACCCCTTTTTGATCCATCAACTTGATCTCCTCCATTATCTTTCCCACTCGTGTTTCCTATCACTTCTCCACCCGATTCTTTCCCATCCTTTACCAAATTCTTCCCTTCATTCAAACTGGGTTTCTGGTCCACATTGCTCTTGCATCATTATCAGCACCACTCTTTCAATAACTGGATCTTCTTTTCCATCTAAATTTCCATCTAAACCAGTCTTTTCATTACCATTTCCCTAAAACCAAACGTCAATGAGAAGCAATCTTAATCCCATCAACAAGCTTAATCAATTAAATTAAACTTCATCTGTTAACGAAACTCACCTTCGAAACACTACCAGAGCAACCGTCAACAACTAGCAGCAGAAAAATTCCACCAAAAGAACATAATTTGTTTCCATATTTTAAGATAAACCCAGTTTTTGTGTGCTTCAAAACAACCTATATAACATAAACGAGTTATACAAAGCAAGAACAAAAGAAAGGAGAAGAATTGAAGGTTTCTAACCTTTTAAAATGAAACCCTGTTGGGAAGCCCGTTTTGAATTACTTTACAGTTCATTACTTCCCAATTTGCTTACACATTGATGGAATCAAGAGCTCGAACAAGGGTTTAACAGAAGGAGAGGAACGGGGATCGTTTGACCAGAGAACTTGAAACGGCATCGTTTTAGCCTCCTCCTGCAAATCGTTCTTTTCTTTTTACTTGTAAAGCAACGTACTCGGTCAAGACCTACCTTAGATGCTCTGATACAAATTAGACCCGAATCTGATTATTTAAATCGATTTATTTGATGTAATACTTGATATAATATGAATATGATAATCAAATTTGATCAGATATCTGATCCATACCTGACCTGAACCATACTCGATCCAAAATTTAGCGAAATCGAAATTAACCCGAACCAAAAGCAATTTGAACCGAAATTAACCCGAACCGAAAGCAACCCGAACTGAAATTAACCCGAACCGAATGTTAACACGATCCGAAAGAAACTTGAACCGAATTTAACCCGACCCGAAAGCAACCGAACAAATTGAAATTGATAAAAATTATTAAATAAAGTTATTTCATAATAAATTAATTTAAATAAAATTGATAATTTGTTAAAATATTAGATTTATAATAAAATTATATAAAGTTTAAGCGGAATATAAAAGTAAGAATCTAATTGTAAGATTGAAAACAATAATAAATAAAGTTTAATTATCTTACTTTATATAAAAATATTAGATTTATAATAAAAATAATAGAAAACAACTAAAACAAAGGAAATAATATATATTATAATAAAATAATATAAAGTTTACTTATGTTACGACTAAAACTTAAAAAATAAAATATATTTTTTTTAAAATTTAATAAAAATATTAAATTTATAATTAGAAATAAAAATTTTAATAAAAAATGTATTTCTTTATCAAATAGTTCTCATTATAAACTTTTCATACGATATCAATATACAATTTTGATAATAAATTCTAACACGTATTATATGATCGTATATGTGTCAAATTATTGATTTATTATCTATAAATTATTGAACGATTGAGAATTGAAAATAAACATAAATGATAAAATTAACAAATAAGTAGATATAATTTTACAAGTATATATCAATTATTCTATATACACTTGATTTTAATTAGACTCATAATCAATTCAACCCGAATTGACCTGATATAAAAGTTGACCTAAACCGAAAAATCAATCGATCCGATATTGACCGACCCTAAATCTAAACAATATGGTATTAACTGACCCAAAAATCAATCGATACGGTATTGACCCGACCTGATATTGACTCGATCCAAAAATCAATCGATCCGAACCGGAAAACAATCGATTCAATAAACACCCAACCCAAAAATTGACTCGACCTGATCTGATTCATAATACACCCAAACTAAATCCGAATCAGATCCGATCCGAATAAAATTAAATCGAATTTAATCTAGACCCGAAATTATCCGACCCCAAATGACCTTACCCAAACCCGATCTAAATGACTCGTTTGACACCTCTACTGATTTCTGAATATCAAACATGTATAATGTATTCAATAAATTATAATTTTAAAAAATTCAAAGTTTTATTCAAAATATATTAAAAATAATGGCTTAAATATAAAATAAGTGTCCAAACTATAGCGTTTTCTACGAATATATGCTCAAAGTATTTTTTTTTTATTACGGTGCCTAAAGTTGCAAACGTTACACTTTAGGTGTCTGGGTCGTCAACCATATTAATTTCACCATTAATTGACATGTGTCACAATCTAGTAATTTTTAAAACTTAATTTAAGATTACAAAATTAAAATTAAATATATATTTTTAAAAAGTAAAAATTTAAAATAACCCCAAAACTGTGAAAACCTTCATTTTAACCCCTAAACTCACACCGATCGTTGCCCTTTACTGTTGACAAAGCTCCATCTAACCTCATAACTCCCCTCAACAACCAAAACCCTATGAAATTATGACTGATCGACGGTCGATCAACGTTTTATACACCACAAACCCTAGAATGAGAATCGTGATCCCACGTGATTCCAACGATCAATCAACTGCAACTACAGCAGCATATGACTAGGAAGATGACAGAGACTACACCGGCAGTGATGTTTGTGGTCGGCAAGGACGGCAACGGCGGGTTAAGGTTAGGATTTGATGACTTTAGGAATTTTGGGGCTTTTTCATAATTTAAGAGAAATTAGAGCTTTTTATAAATATAATAATATTTTTATATTTAAAAAAATAAATTTCAAATCATCAAACTGCGACACGTGTTACTTAACGAAAGTGATTAACGTCGTTGACGACCCGATTACTTAAAATGGTAACGTATAGGCACCAGAATGAGTCAAAAAATACTTTAGACACCTATCATGAAAAGATATATAGTGTGGTCGCTTATTTTATATTTAAGCCTAAAGTAATATTGAATATTATACTAATAAGATTAAAGATTAAAATAATTAAACAAGTAAAAGGTATATATTCAGTAACAGCAAATGAGTCAATACAAATACACTGATGTAATTATATAGATCTAAATTTGAGTTGAGGCCTAATCACCCAAATTAATTCTAAACATATTTCCTGCTAGATAACAAACTCGTTCTTGTAATTATAATTTATTTAAATTAAATACCCAATAAAAAATATATAAAAATATTAAAAATTATATAAATTTTGTTTAAAAAGAAAACCATACACCTTACATATGAAAGATTTGTATTTTATATAAACATAAATATATTTTTAGATATTATTTACCTTAATAATTATTAAATGAATATTAATCTCGTAAAAAATACCCTTTTTGTATCAGGATTATAAAGTGATATTTTGAAGAAAAAAATTAAAACACGAAAATACAGTACAAATATCAGAGTTTGAAAATGAACAAAAGACGGGACGGACCGGACCGGACCGGACCAAGGCATGCCATTGAATTGGACCGTCAAAGGTTATCCACTACGTTTGACACTGTCTTCCCTGCATAATAATTGAGTTCCCTTCCGTGCCTTAACATTGAAGTAGAGCTGTTATACAAAAGGGTAAAATATAAAAATGGTCCCTAGACTATAGGATACTACTTTATTAGGTCCTTCGACTATTAAAAGTTACAAAATGGTCATCCAACTATAGAGTGTTGCTTTGTTGAGTCCATTGACTATTAAAAGTTATAAAATGATCACCCGACTATTCATTATGTTCCAAACTTGTCATTTTTCGTTAAAAATTTGACGGTATTCTGAGCTGAACGTTAACATGTCGACTGTGATATTATAAAATCTAATTTCAGAATCTCAAACGACTACTATATCTCAACTATCATGTTAGCGTCCAGCTTAGACAACCACCAATTTTTTAATGAAAAATGACGTGTTTAGAACATAATAAAATAACATTCCATAGTCGGAAGATCATTATATAACTTTTAATAGTCGAGGAATACCCTATAATCGGTGACCATTTGTGTACTTTACCCTATAAAAATAAACTATATTCTAAATCAATCAACTTTAAACGTTATTTTGTATTAGACAATAAATTACGAAAAAATACTTATAACACTAAAATTATAAATTGTTTATTTAATGGTTTTTTTAAATCATTAGTAATAAGATTATGTGATTTGAGAAATTACCTTATCATCCTCTAATACTCTTCCGGTTCAGATTTTCTCAAAACCTCCTTACGACTAACGAGATCAAACATACAAATCCACACTTTGAGGGTTCGTCGCTTTGTTGGATTTGAAGAGTTTATGATATTTGTCAAAAAAATTCAAACTATCATAACCGTTTATCTCGAGCAGATGAACATGCACCGAAATTAGCTTTACCATGCTGTTGTTAGAGTACAACAAAATTAAAGGGTCGTAGCTTTGGATGAATTTTCATTGATTTTACGTAGATTTTATGAAAATCAAACCGAAAAAAATAAAAAAGAAGAGAAATGTGAATGTTTTTATACTAATTTATCGTAAATGACAATCTACGGTGAGTGACTTCGATTGAAGGGGTTTAAGGTTTTCTATAAAAGAAACCGAACGTAGTGTCCATGTTGTCACACTATTTATACTTTAACACACTAATAGTTAAAAAAAATCATTTCAAAAAATTTTAATACTTTGGTTGAAACATTTAATAACTCGATGATCAAAGAAATAACAGTTAAAGTTCACTAACTAATATCGTAATTTATCCAAATAAACATGGTGTAAAAGTAATTAAAATATAAGACACATACATAATATACCTTATGTGAGACTCCATATAACAAAATTTATCATGCCAATTGTGTATTTATACCTTATGTGAGACTTGTACATGCACTTGATTTGTTGGTACAATGACAACTTAATATATTACATGTATATAATTACAAACAATTATTTAATAATTTTCGAACTACATCCTAACTAAAATATTTATTAGTTGAATTTGCATTCTTATTGCTTTTATTATTGTTATCGTTTTTTTAAGTCAATCATCATGTTATTTATTACACGTGAAGGCATCAATTTATGTCAACTCAGGGCAATGCCGCAATGGTTCATTCTAAACCAGTCAAATTTCAATTCTTTGTTTTATGCAATTAGTCATATTAGATGTACATGTTTAATATTATTTAATAAAGTTTATTATTTTATTTAAATTTGCTCATAAAAATTTATAAATATTAAAATAAATCATCCTTCATTTATTGGTGGGGATTACTTTAAGTAGTTTAAATATTATAAAAATATCGAAAAATAAAATTCGGGAAATGAGAATATTTCGCCAGCACATTTTTGCTTAGTGAACCGGCGTCGTATTGATCAGCAGTTGCGTTCCGAGGCATATCTTTACCGGGAAATGAAACGAGATCACGAGAACTTGGGAAATTCTTTTATGGTTCAATTT